TGGAGACATCCAAATCCCTTTTGTCTGCAAGTGAATCGGAAATAAATCTGGGTGATGAACCTGACCACTACATCATCACAGCAAATCCTCTCATTTTTATGAAAGTGCCTCTATTTTATTTATTCGTTTTTTTTCAGTATGAGAAGGAAACATAGTCATCATTGCTTCTTTCCTCCTGGGTGCTATAAACATTTTTTTTTCTATTATTGTAAGTTAAGAAGAATTACAGTCCCAGAGAAGATAACTTAACCCTCCCCTCTCTACCCTGTTTCTGAACAAGTATTTTCATTTCCTTCCTCATTGAATGTAAAATTTTCTTGTTCTGTGGCCATTTTCTTCATGGAATTTTTATGATTTTAATATAATGAAGCTTAAAGGGTTACGTATATATCATTCTCTCCAAAAACTGAATCCACTGATGACATTTTTTTGCGGTTATTTTATCCCCTCTCTAATTACTTTTTCATAGTATTTGGACAGAATGGTATGGTAGAAAGAACTAGAGAGAACTCTGGTCTGAATCCTGAATCTGGGTTTTGCTTGGTTTTAAACACTGAGTAAGATGCTTCATCTCAATGATCTACGGTCTTTTCATCTGTACAATGAGACTGATGTCAATTACAATGTAGACATAATGTAAAAGTATAAATATAATATATTTAAGACATTAGGAAGTAGTTGATAAATAATAAACTTTTTATGGTGGGCAGTTTGATGCAGTGGAGAAAAGCATGGCTTTACAGCCATTCAAATGAGAATAGAATTACTAACTGTACTTGTGCACATCACTTTCCATTCTTGAGCCTTCCTCCTCATCCATAGAATGAGTATTCTAATCCCTAGTATGAATGAGGCATGAGAGATATGAAGTCCCTACCTTGTCAATGCCAGAGGTACATCCAGTACTTGCCTGTATATTGTTTTTTGCTTACATCTTTACTGAGTCACTTTTTAAACACATTTAAATTCGTCCTTACCATTTTCTTGCATTTTAGGTTTTACATCTTGATTTTATTACCATTTTTATAGGCTGTTTTTGTGTTAAGATTAACCATAGTACTAAAGTTCATCTTGTATGATCCATATTACCCTCTTAAGAGCTGAATAACATATGCAGCAGAAGCATTTTTAAAGGTCAACTATAGATTATTATTGTTCTTCCTTATTCCTTTAATTCAATAGATAAGCCCAAGGCAAAGTGAAATGATCTTGATGGCCACTGTATCACAGAGCTAGAAAACAATTTTCCAGCAGTGAGAAAGAGTATAATTTTCACCTGAGCTGGAGAGTTGAAAAGTTTGTGATTATTCACTACCAGCAGGTTAAAGCAATGTGCTTGAGGTCACGTTGTCCTGGGCTTGAACTGCAGCCTTACCACTTTCCGCATTTATGATTTTGTGTGTTTTATTTAGCCGCTCTGCTTCTCAGTGTTCTCATCTGTAAAATCCAGGTAAAGACATTCCTTAAAAAAAATGAGATGCGTATATAAAACAACTAATATAGAGATTGAAAATCTTATGTTTCATCTTGCAAACCTAATCTGAACAGTTAGTTGGTAGTGGTTGATGGAGGGTAATGTGTGAAAGGTCCTCGTGGGGCTAAGTGAGAAAACATTCTACATGCCTGAAGGTACGGAATGAAATGTGTAGGTGCACATAAGTCAGACATGTGCCCCCTCTGGCTTGCTACCCTAATTCATGATAAATATTTGATATGAGTGGTTGCCAGTGTTATTACTGAGAGACAGTGAATGGTTGCATGAAGTTTTTCTGAGGGGTAATTAGTAGTACCTAAGTAGGCTGGTCATTTACAGTTTTCATATACTTGCTAAGGTATATTATCACATTATATTTTTTATAGCCCTTTTATATTTCTCCATCTCATAAGTTTTTCAAATTAATAAGTTACTTGTGAGTTATTACTGAAGAAAATGGGCCAGGGACTAATTATTTAGCAAGTTAATATTTCATTTCAAAATAGCTTTTAATAATAGTTATGACTTGAAAAAATAGAACACTTTCTGCAGTGATTTGCAGATAACAACTTAAATGTAATACAGATTTCAATTTCAAAAGCACTGTGGAAATGGGGTTCTCACATTCTGTTTATGTACATAAAACCCACTGTTTACCACTCTACAAATTAGTTGAATCGTTTATTTATTTATTTAATTTTTAAAAGTTTATTTATTTATTTTGAAAGAGACAGCATGAGTGGGGGAGGGGCAGAGAGAGAGGGAGGTAGAGAGAACCCTGAGCAGGCTTGGGGACTCAAAGTCACGAAACTGAAGATCATGACCTGAGCCTATACCAAGAGTTGGACGCTTAACTGTCTGAGCCACCCAGGTGCCCATTCGTTGAATTTTTTATATATCAAAAGTAGGAGTTATGTTGGGGTGCCTGTGTGGCTCAGTTGGTTAAGCGTCTGACTTCAGCTCAGGTCATGATCTCATGGTTTATGGGTTCGAGCCCCCCGTTGGGCTCTGTGCTGACAGCTAGCTCAGAGCCGTCTTCAGATTCTGTGTCTCCGTCTCTTTCTGACCCTCCCCTGCTCATGCTGTCTCTCCCCCTCTCTCAAATAAATAAAAGATTAAAATAATAATAATAAAAGTAGGAGTTATATTAAAGGCAATGATGGTATAGTTTCTAAAAGCTGACCTATGAGGCCTTGAAGACCCGAAGAAGAATTTCAGAATCTGTAATGCTGGCCCATCTTTCTCTTCTAACTCTGAAGTTATTGTATGTTTTCCACTGGCTTTAGAATCCATTTTAGAGATAGATATTTGGATATAATTTGTCATTAATTGCTTTAAACTTATCAATATTTAGAGATTGTCACATTCTTTCTGTTACATAAATCATACCTAGTATTGTTTTAGTATGAAGAAATGGTCACTTGCCCTAGTAAAAATTACTGTTTGCCTTTTTGGGGAAACATTTGTTAGCTCAACATGACAAGAAAAAAAAATCTGTCTGACAGTGTTTTCATGTTTATAGAGATATTGTAATAACAATATGATATTATAGAAATATGAAAATTAAAAAAACTCTGCCTAATCTTCCTGCTAAGAACTGTGAACATTTTGTTTATTTAATTCCAGTCTTCAGTCTTTGCTCCAGTATTCTTGCATGTCATCCTGAGTGTTCTATTTAATCTAACCGAATTCTTCTTAAATGCAAACACATTTTAAGTTTTAGATTAAAAGGAAAAAGTTCCTACTATCATTTTTATGACAGTATACTTTAAGAACTGTTCTGAGAACCAGAAACACATAGATGTGTGTGAGTGGAATGTACACGTTTGTTCACATTACATATTTGTCACCAGTATTTTTTTTTTTACTAACCAGCCAAGCAAAGGGAATTAAAAAGGTGAGGAGACTCAAATCAATTCAGTTCCTTAAACATACTTACATTGACAGCACTGTGCTAATATAAAGGGAATATGATTAAAATAAAAGGAAGCTAGTTCTTCCTTTGAAGCAAAGAAGTATAGCCAGTATGAGAAAAGCTTCTGATTATGCCTTGAAATGGAAAAAGCTATTGTAGTTCTGATTAGTTAAGCTCTAATGGTCTGCTTGAAAAATAATTCAGGTAACCAGTCTATTAGCTGGTCTTAGAAATTGAACAGCTTCTATATATGTGGTGCTTATTAAAACTATAATACTTAGGGGCGCCTGGGTGGCTCACTCGGCTAAGTGTCTGACTTTGGCTCAGGTCATGATCTCATGGTTCGTGGATTTGAGCCCCGCATCGGGCTCTGTGCTGACAGCTAGCTCAGCCTGGATCCTACTTCGGATTCTGTGTCTCTCTCTCTCTCTGACCCTCTCCTGCTCACACTGTCTCTCTCTCAGAAATAAATAAAAAACATTAAAAAAAAAACCTATAATACTTAAATATACAAATCAGCTTTAAATATAATATTCCCATCAAGTGAAATATTCTTCTATACTGTAAGCAAATAAAGGAGAGGGATGATAATAAATAAGGAAGTGATATACTTTTTGCTTTATTTCCAGTTTTGGGGGTTTTTGTTTTCTTATTCTCTTGCTTGGCTGTTAGTGAAATGCTCTTTGGCAGGTAAAATTTACTTAACTTGAAAGTAATAACTGATGGCTGAGACTCTTCAGACTATCTCTGTGCATGGTACCGGGCATGCTAAATAATTGTCAAGATATTCACTGAGTTTTCCAAGTGATATTCATAAATTTTATTTATATTAAAATATAAAATACAAATAATTTTGAAAAAAAAATCTAGCATCAGTGCTTAATCCAAAACATTTTTTACTCCTTCTACTGATCTTATTTTCTCAACAACATTGTAAATCTTGGCAGGACCATTAACTTCTTTTTTTTTTTTTCTTTAATTTTTAATGTTTTATTTCTGAGAGAGAGAGAGACAGTGTGAGCAGGGGAGAGTCAGAGAGAGAGGGAGACACAGAATCCAAAGCAGGCTCCAGGCTCTGAGCTGGCAGTCAGCACAGAGCCCGATGCGGGGCTCAAACCCACGAACCTTGAGATCGTGACCTGAGCAAAGATGGATGCTTAACCGACTGAGCCACCCAGGTGCCCCGAGGACTTTAAACTTCTTTGTCCAACTCCTCATAATTCTCTCTACTTAGTAGTTATTCTATAAATACTTGAATTTCTAAAGGAATAAATATGAATAAAACAGAAAACTGACTGTACACACAAACTTATCTTTAAGAAAAAGACAAAGGGCATGTACTTAAGGGTTTGAGGTGATTAGGTTAAAAAATCAAAGCATTGTTAGTTACTAAATTTTTGAATTTAACCATTTCACTTAATTTCTCCAAAAATGAATTTTCATATATGTAAAATGGAAATTATTTTGACTTTTTGGGACTCTAATGAGATAATGAGTGAATGTACTTGCCACAGCATCTAAAATTTCATAGACTATAAATATGATGATGTGATGCTACTGCATCTGTTGGAGAGCTTTGTCCTCAGGTTGATCTTTATGACTTCTTCCCAGGTGAAGCATACATGCGATTAAGCAAACTCCCTGAAGCTGAGTATTGGTATATGGAATCATTGAGATCCAAGACTGACCACATCCCTGCTCATCTGACCTATGGGAAACTGCTAGCTCTCACAGTGAGTAACTACCTTCCTTCCTCACCCTTCCGAAGTTGGCTTTCACCATGCAGACTGAGGTAGATAGAGTTTAAGGTATTGCTTCTCAGCCAATTGACTCAGACTGTTAGGAGGTAATGATGGTAACACTGAGTTAGAACTCTGTATAGAACCTATAGACAAATGTATTTCTTTGGCTCTAGTGGTTGCCATAGGTAAAATGTGAAATGTGGTATGTCATGATCCTTGATGTAACTTAATGGAAAATATATATGGTGAATCCCAAATATGGATTACATAATGGATTTGTCATAATAACATATTTGTAAGAAGATTATTTTCTACAAACCACTGTTAGCCTCCATTTGGCTACACTGAAGAACTAAGTCTGATTCTTTCCAAACAGCCACCCTTATATAAGGCTTTGCGTGTTTGTGTGTGAATTAGTGTCACCTGGAATTCCTACTAATTGGAAATCATTCCAGACTCTAGAGAGGTGGAGCCATCATTTTGCCACCCACTATGTGACAAGCAGTCTCAGAGGCTGCATTCTCATGAAAGTGGTATTAGTTTGAAGCATAATAAATTGCTGGAATTCTACCATTGTGACTTATAAAAATTATAATTTCATGTGTTTAAAGTAATGTTGATGTCTTATTTTACACTATAGAGGATTGTTCAAGATAAGCAAATGTTCTGAGCTTATGCAGTTAAGAATAAGTAGTAGGACTATCCTTTGATCCTTATCTGTCTGTGTGGTTTTCGTTATATCACCTAATTGCTCTTCAATATTAATAAAAATAAATGAATCCTAGAAAAGCATAGAACAGATGGTCAGGAAAGTAATTTCTAAGTGAATTCATAGAAAGGTAGCTTAAAATTATTTAAAAGTAATGTGTTTTATTTTCTACAGAAGATGGTAGACTAAACACTTAAAATTATTATGTATCCATTTGAAGATACAACTAAAATGCTATTAATGAAATTATACAGGCAGACTGAATACTGGAAAATACCCCACTAAAATATATATAGGTGTGCTTAATAAAACTGATATGCTGTTAATACATTGTTGAGCCCAAAAAGCAGAGAGAGAATTTCCTAAGGGCTAGAAGTAAGGGGTAACTGAACACCAGAACAGTAAAACAGTTGGCTGATCCAGTAGCTAAATCTGGGATAGTTTACCCAGTTGTGGCAACCAGAGGGAAAGGGCTTTTTGTTTGCTTTCATTCTTGCTGGAATAAGAGACAAGGCTTTGCACCAGTGGATGGCCAGGGATTAGATACCTAAATAAAGGAGGAAAATTCATACCCTCAGTCAAAGGATAATCTGGAGTGAGTTTGCATACCTCTATAAGAAGGCAGCATGAAGGTTTGCTTATCTCAGCGTGGGATTTGGATGAAGAAAGAATGAATTTTTACTACTGCCTTCCTTTTGTCTGGCTTTGAGGTTTGAATTTGCTTTACTTGCATGGTCATGAAATTTCTAGGCCAAGAAATTAAATTAAAACCAGGCCACTAGAAATTCTTGCTGAAAAAATCACTGAAGATGTCCTTCAAAAGAACACAATTAAATCTAGGAGTTACTGATTATGTTGCAAAATGAATGTGAACCAAAAATGTGATCATGTGGGTAAATAAAGAATAATAATCCTAAGTATTATACTAAATATTTATAATACTGGATAAAATATTGAGAAGGAATAACCTCACAGGAACAATCAGAATGGGGAGATGAAATTTCCACTTTCAGTAAGTGGAAAGAAGTATTACAACTCATCTGTCAGATGTCCGACACCAGGGGCTCCTGGGTGTCTCAGTCAGCTAGGCATCCAGCTTTAACTCAGGTCGTGATCTCACCATTCGTGAGTTCAAACCCCCTGACAGCTCAGAGCTTGGAGTTTGCTTTGGGTTCTGTGTCTCCCTCTCTCTCTCTCTACCCTTCCCCTGTTAACACTCTCTGTCTCTCTCAAAAATAAATATTAAAAACATTAAGAAGGAAGGATGGATGGACAGATGGACAGAGTCCACCATCTGAAGAGGCTTTGGGATGGGGTAACAATGCAAAGAAATCTTAAGTACTCAAAAAGAAACTCAGGGAGACTCAAGACTTGGAGGCAATGGGCATAGAAGAGACTGAGTTATGGAGCTTTTATTAAATGTGGTAATCAGTTGTAAACTGTGTCTGAAGCAGTCAGGTCTCTCCCCTGTGTGCACAATGCCAGCATCCAGGCAGTCACTTCCAAGGCAGGGAAAAGAAAACTTATCATAGTGGAGCAGTTGAGTAAGACAGGTTCATGACTCAGGGATAGCTTGCACAGTTGAAGGTGAAATGCGGAGACAACTGAAAAGATTGATTCAGTGTCTTCCGTTGGAGTACACAGATTGTCATTCCCCCTCCCTGACCACATGCAGAATATCAGCACCACAGAGTTGCCCAGCACTGCACGCACATACATGTGCATGCTCATGCACAGGCACACACGTCCCGCTTCCGAGAAATTGTGGAATTCTTACCTGGAGAAACTGGATCACTGTAGGGAAAAGGAACCTGTATACCTACATTTGGAGGTCACCTATAAATGACTGGCTCCCAAACCAGATACACAAAAGTGAATCTTCCCAGTCTAGGGAGCGCACTGATGCCTAAGGAACTCTATCCAGCTTTTATTCAATAAGTTTTGAATAACAGTGAACAACCAAAAACCATCAGTCATATTTTTAAAACCTTAAAGGTAAAAGATTGAAACTGAAGCAAATTATTAGGAGAAGGAAAATGGAGGAAACAGAAGAAAAATTTTTAAAAATCCTTAGAAAGAGATAGTAACATAGCATTTTATAAAAGCAGGATGCCATAAAAACATAAATAATGAAAAAAAAACAAGAAAGAGCTTTTAGACATTAAAGATATGAGGACAAACAACTTTCATTTAAAGGATAGGAGACTAGGGGCACTCAGCTGGCTCAGCCAGTAGAACATGGAATTGGTCATGGGTTCGAGCCCCACATAGGTGTAGAGATTACAAAGAAAGGGAGGAAGGAAGGAACGAAAGAAAGAGAATAAAGATGAGGAAATCTTTCCATATACAAACAAAGATGAAGAAATGAAAAATGTGGAAGAAGAAATTATGAAAGAAACTAATAGTAAGGCCCAATGGAGAAAGAACAGAGAAAGGAAAAGGAGAACGTATCTCAGAATTGGAGAGTATAATTCGCTATTTCTGACGTTTACAGGATCATAACATGTCTAGTTTAATCATTTGGCAATTTTTTTTTACCTTATAAAAATCTTTTTATTTCTTATTTTAATACAATATTAGATAATTCACACAGTTCCACCTGAGAACAGAAATTACATATACCTCTTGCCACAACTACGGTCTTTGAGATGTTCTTATGGAATTCAGATGGAAACATTTTTAATTAGATTGATAAAGGACCACCTTCAAAAAAACATCTAAAGAGTTTGAGATGCCTGTTTTTTTTTTTTTAATGTCATTTAGCAAAGAGAGAAAAAGATGAAAGTTCAAATGTACTTAATTCTGAATATACCTAGACCGTGACATTGCTTTGGATATAGAAACCATGTGTTCTATTTTTCTTCCTCTCTTCTTTTCAAGCATGAATATTTTAAGTTTCCTGTACCAAAAATATGATTTTACAGGCTGCTTTATTTTTTAGAAGGCTTTTTTTTAAAAAAAAAAAAAACCAAGATTTAGAAGTTTTAATTTACTGAAACATATGGAAGGGAAGGAAAGACTCGTGTATTACAATCCAAATTTTAATTCCCCCCACCAACAAAACTTTTATAGTTTCCGACTAGCTGATTAGATGAAATACAAGCCTTATTATGGAAAAGCTCAAAATCACAGTGCCAAAATCCCCACAACCATCTTTAACAGTTTCTTTTTGAATTATGAAATTTTGGCAAATTTCTTATCCCAATGGATGGTCTTTGTCTAATTTAGGGTTTTTTGGCCTGGTTATATGGCCATTGATTTAACATGGAATTGGCAAAAGTGGAAAATGCCACACATTTTGACTTCTGAATGCCTTAAGTATAGATATTATAAAATGGAATTGGCAATTAGTCTCAAGAGAAGAGAAATAAAAATAGGGTGTGGTGTTTTTAATGTTTGGTCAAAACTGACCATAGGCAAAATATGTAAAAATGACCTACAGCTAAATCAGACTTAAACTGTAGAGTAAGATTTTCTATAAGATTTATATTTTTATAAGAGAGCAATTAGAAAAAAAATTATTTACAGTGTTTTTATTGCTATCAGTATGTTTTTTCATTTAAGAATTTGTAGGGGTGCCTGGGTGGCTCAGTTGGTTGAGTGTCTGGCTTTAGCTCAGGTCATGATCTCACAGCTTGTGAGTTTGAGCCCCACGTCGGGCTCTGTACTGACTGCTGAGAGCCTGGAGCCTGCTTCAGATTCTGCATCTCCCTCTCTCTGTCCTTCCCCTGCTCATGTTCTGTCTCCCTCTCAAAAATAAATAAAATATTAGGGGCGCCTGGGTGGCTCAGTCAGTTAAGCATCCGACTTCGGCTTAGGTCACGATCTCACGGTTCGTGGGCTCAAGCCCCGCGTCGGGCTCTGTGCTGGAAGCTAGCTCAGAGCCTGGAGCCTGCTTCAGATTCTGCATCTCCCTCTCTCTCCGCCCCTCCTCTGCTCACACTCTGTCTCTGTCTCTCTCTCTCAAAAATAAACAAACATTAAAATTTTTCTAAAAAAGAATTTGTAGTATTTGTGGTTTTTAGGAAAGTTCAAAGTGATTTTGAGTTTCCCAGAATGCTTTGACAACTTCCATAGATCAAATCCTTTTTCATTCCCCTGAAAGATGTCCTTCGTTTCTGTCTCCCCACTTAAAGGCTATTTCTTATACAAAGTCTTTCCTGAGTCTTTCAAGCAGTTATTTTTCCCTCTCTCTGTACTTTCATAGCACTGGTTTCAGTATCTCTTATAGTAGCACCTCCCAGATTGAAGAGCAGATATAAATCTTGATCTTTTGACCTCA